GAGTACCCACAGGCAGCAATGGCCGTAGAGAAATCTTTCTACGCGGACGATGGTCTAACTGGAGCCAACTCTGTCGAAGAAGCAATCGAGTTGCAACGGCAACTCAAGACCTCTTCTCGAGAGGAGGTTCCTGGTACGCAAACGGAACTGTGTGGTGCCTATTTACTTGCACAATTGCTGCATCACGTTAAGCCTGCATTCAATTTACCATTGAACTGCATCTGTGCCTGGACTGACAGCACCGTCGTCCTGAGCTGGCTCGTCGGCAGTCCGAGACGCTTCAAGACATTTGTCAGGAATAGAATTTCACACATCATTGAACTGATCGCACCTGACCGATGGAGACACGTCAATGGAACAGACAATCCCGCTTACTGTGCCTCCAGGGGCCTTTTCCCCTCTGAATTGTTGAATCACGTTCTCTGGTGGAACGGTCCTGAGTGGCTGAAGTTTCCCTCCACTGACTGGCCCAAGCTGTCAACTATTCCAGATGTGGGACCATCGGACGAGGAAAGAGAAGTGTGCATCCACTCTGTTCTACATCAGAAGCCCCCTCTCATTCCACTGGATCGTTTCTCCAGCTTCACTCGTTTCAGGTATGTTACCGCCTGGATCCTCCGCTTCGTGAACAACTTCCGTTCTCGCGACGCTGCCCGAGTATCATCACCTCTCTCCGTCCAAGAGCTGTCCTTAGCCGAGAATTACTGGCTGCGCCTCGCTCAGAGAATTTCACGCAAGAGATCCAGTCACCCAGGTACGGGTCACACTTTGACCAAATCCAGCTGTCTACTCCTTCTCAATCCAATCATAGATCAAGCTGTAGTTGTTCGTGTTGGTGGCAGAATACAAAATGCTCAGTTCTGCTATTCGATTCGTCACCCAGCTGTTCTACATGGCAAACATCAAGTTACGAAGTTGATAATCTACTCCGAGCATCTACGTTTGCTCCACACTGGACCCACACTCGTCGCAGCATCTCTCAGCCGTCGCTACCACATTATCGGATCACGCAAAGCTGTGTATTCCGTCACCCGTGGCTGCATTACGTGTCGTCGAACATCCGCGAGGCCTCAACCTCAGATGCTGGGCCAATTGCCTCCTGAGCCCCTCATGCCCGGTCCGGTCTTCGAGAACATCAGTGTGGACTATGCTGGTCCTGTCTACATAAAGTATGGTTGTAAGCCTACCACTGTCAAGGCATACATTTGTGTCTTTGTGGCTCTGTCAGTCAAGGCTGTTCATCTGGAGCGTGTCTCTGATCTTACCACGGAGGCCTTCATCGCCACACTCGGTTGATTCATCGCCCGCCGCGGTCGACCGTCTACCATTTGGAGCGATCATGGCACTAACTTTGTTGGTGCTTCTCGTGAAATCAAGGAACTCATTCAATTCTTGGAGAAACAAAGGACACAATGAGCCATTTCAGAGTTTTTGTTCTGCACAGAATATCGAATGGAAGTTCATCCCTCCTCACTTCGGTGGTCTCAGGGAAGCAGCTGTCAAGAGCATGAAGTTTCATCTGAAACGCGTCGTTGCCAACACAAAGGTTTACTTTTGAAGAATTCACTACCATCCTCATGCAAGTGGAAGCCTGTCTCAATAGTCGTCCCTTAACTCCAATGTCCTGCGACTCTGATGCTGTCGAAGCTCTCACACCAGGACACTTCCTGATTGGGAAGTCCATGGAATCGCTGCCTGATACGTCTCTTTCATATCGTGCTCTCCCGCTACTTCGTCGCTGGCATCTGTGTCAGTCCGTCATTCGGAACTTCTGGCAGAGGTGGTCAGCCGAGTATGTTGCCAGTCTTCGACGTCTAACCAAGTGGCAGCACCCGACAAGGAACATTGGAGATGTTGTCCTTCTACAGGAGGACAACCTTATCCCTACCAAATGGCCCCTCGCTCGAGTTGTCCATGTTCACGTCGGCAAGGACAAATTGGTACGTGTCGCTACAGTAAAGACAATCACAGGAATCTACAAAACGACCTATCACCAAGATGGCTCTTCTCCTGCCCTCGCAAGAGTGAACATTATTAACGAACATTATTGTAATTGTATCAATATCATGCTTACTTAAAGACCATCTGGTCTTGGCCGGCTGTATGTTATGTCATGCATTTCGTATCATTTCAATCTTTCATTGTACGTAAAATTAGAGTCGGTTGAGAAAAAGGTTTGAGAAATGGTGGACCATTCTGGTCGCGAGTAGCGCTCGTTTTATCCGTATCCATCGAGAAAGAGCTCAAACAAAAGGTGTGAATTTTCTTTTGGTAATACAGTACACACACAGTCAACAAAGAAGGTAATACATACATGTAATATGTGGTTAAAGGTAAGGACTCCACTATCTGCACATCACTTTTTCTCTCTTGGAACAAAATTGAAGTTTGCGCTACATTAATTTATTAATTTGGTGTGGGTACAACAACAAAGTACTCTTCCAATGCAAAATAAACACAAAAGGTAGCCGTACAACATTAGTAGAGAAATTCCGAGCAAAATTATTGATAGTATCCAGACTGAATTAAACAAGGGAAACTGCTCGCCAGTGATATTATGTGTGTAATATCCCAGGGGTATCACTTCCGAATTGATGGCCAGGCCCAAATGATATGTCAGTAGTGCAACTAACATTGCAATTGTGATGGAGTTATGAAGTGAGTGTTTATAAGGTCGGAACACCAGATGGAGGGTGAGGTAGATAAGAATCCAAATACTTACAACTGGAAAAAGCATACTGGAGAGAGTGAGTGTAAAGGTCAGGTTCACCATCAATGGTACAAACAGTATACCAACTGAGAAAAAGCGATAATCTCTGGTGTTGTTTGTGCCATCTTTAAACGGACCTTGAAATACTTCCACAAACGTTCGCAGTGTTAATGAATTGAGGCCGAATGTGTTGAGGATTTCGCTGGAACCAAGAAAATGGGTACACAAACAACAAAACCATTGGCAGGATAAAAAATATAAATGATAATGATACAGCCATGAGGGCAAACGGCAAGTGACTCTCACCAAAATACTCAACCGAAGGTGAGTAGAAAAGATAGTATGCTGTAGTCAGCTTCATGTGCCCATCAGGCCCTTGCTGGTATGTGTAGCTGGTGATCGGAACTAGAAGGCCAATAGAAGTCAGAAGTAGACGGGTTGAGGAAAGATAATTAAATGATGCAAACACGTCAATAAGGGATGTTTTTACATTCCAATGCCTTCGTAAGGGGTGTAGAATAACAGAGAGCAGCTTCCAGGGCCATACCAGGAGTTTGAAATTGTGGTCGTAGAGTTTGACCATGACATATGTGACTCCAATCAGTACCACTGGGTAGACTGTTGTAGCATAGTCCACAGCCATGATGGCCATGGCTGAGGCATCGGGGTGAAGGCAGAAGGAGTAATACAAACGAAAGAAATCAAGATTCCAAAGTGATGCAATTGATTGGAATACCATAAGAAGTTTGGGGTGGTATAGAATACCAGCCTTTTCGAAGCTGAGGCACATTTTAAGGTATATTGGGTGACCTCCCATTTCAAAAGCTAAAACCAGTCCAGTCAGTAAAGGAGGATGTGAAGCTAATGGAGAAGAGAGTAACTAGAATGTAGAAGACAGTAAGTGGAAGAAAAGCAGCTGCCAAATACTTTATCCAGTTGTGTTTGTACTTCTCACACTTGACACATGCAAGATCGTAGGAGTACACAGGAATTGCATATCCGTCATCGCACATACCACACAACTTTCCATGTCGGTGCAAACCTGCACATGTGAAGTCATTAACTTGAGACACATCACATGGAAGTGGGTAGTAGCCCATGATAGCAGTACATGTGTACATGGAAGCACCAACTACCAGAACTCCATCATTCTCTGTCATACAGTAGCACTCAAGTAGACTAGTTTGAAGAGTAATTAATCTTGCTGTATGATGCCACCTAGTTTTGGTCCAGGCTGGCACTCTCCATTCTCAGTAGTAAACCATGGTGGACAACCATCATGACTTAGATTGTGGTCTATTTCTAGAACACTGACAAGGTCTGCAGAGCAGTTTTTGTACTCCAGACTGTCCAATAGCAAACCAGTGCAGTGCACTGTAAGAGCTAATATCACATTAACAGTTGTTAGGAGCATCTATCTAGTCTTTGTCATCACTCTGGGCACAAAAAACTCTTGCCACAATAACTCCCCTAACAGTTAAAGTGAACTGCAAAATGTAAATTTCTTGATGTTGGGTATCGACATAATAACAGTTGACAGGTATCCCTGGATTGTGAAAGCAATGTCATTGGCCATACATGGCCATGCATGCTCTGTCATTAGTAAACCATGGTGGACAACTGCCACACGCTCTTTCAGTCTTTTTCTGGTGTAGCGGAAAATTATTGAGAACTGTAGAGCTGTGTCTGTACTCTAGACTGTTTAACAGCAATGCAGTGCAAGTTACTGTCAGAAGTAATACCACAACCAAAATTTTTTGAAGCATCTTTTCTTTGCTATTACTCTGGACTAGGCCAACTATCCTCAGCCCTTCATATAAATACTCTTGTAACAGAAAACTGAACAACACGTGATGCGCAGGAGGGAAAACTATTCACACTCCCATTAATTCTGACGCTTCCCTTGAAACAGGAAGTTTACAATACTGCTGGTGCTCTCTCTGATCCTTGTTTGTTGCTGGGCTTGTGGAATGAGTATTCCACAAGTACATGTAATATGTGGTAACACCCTTTACTCTTGAAGGACCAGTTGATTATCAGTTTGGTGCATAGAAAAATGGAACATATCCTGCTTGACTGAATATAGTAGCTCTGTTGGTACATAATGTATGATATACCAACTCGGAGGGGTAGAATTGAGCCGAAACAACCTATATTTAAGCTCAACCCACTCAATCATGTTTTTTGTGCATAACCTTCGGTCTAGATGGCACTACAACCCCTCTTTCCACAATATATAAGCGAGACTCATCAAAAACAAACCCAAAAGCATGGATGTATGTACTCTGACCTCTAGCCAGGAGTGACAGGTAATTGTCAGCAGTGGAGAAAGCAGCCACTAGTCGCGGGAGAGTGTTGCTGATCTGCATGTTGATGTCTGTCAACTGTACCCCACACACACTCTCTCCACACTCCTCCTGCAAACTGTAACAATACACACATCCATGTATAAATCATAGCCGTTTGGAACACATTCACAGCGAGGGTTACAGTACTTGGTCTGTCCGTGTGTGTCAATAGCTACAGCAGCAAATGAGCTATATCAATGGCTTCAGGGCTACAAGGGCGCTAAAAATTTTGCTAAAACAACTGCATTAAGGAGATGTGGCGTACAAAAAGTGAAAAAGGTAATATGCATGATCAGCACTCAATCTGGCTTATCCCATTCAAGGCACCATACAGCATTAAAATAGTCGCAGGACGAGTATCCATCCCAGCATCCAAATGCTACATACTGATGTAGCTAGCCCGTGAATGAGCGAGAAATGTGTCGATGAGTTAGACCGTGTGGGCCTATCAATTAGTGGTGCTTTATGCACGTGCACATTAAGCTGGCAAGCCTTCCTTTTGTTGCACTTTAGTTCTCCTCATACACTGTGTGGCTATGAGACCTGTGTATGCATATACCTGATCTGGAGATATGGGGTAAGGGTGTCCAAGTAGGCCACCAGTCTCCTGTGAGCCAGTGCAAACTCCATCAGGTCACTACTGCCAGTCTATGGTGAAGTGGGCATACGTACATTGTAGTTATTCTCGGTGAAAATTCATTTTTGTGTTTATGAGCAAATACGAGCAGTTGTTACAATATGTCCAGTGCAGTCACACACATAATCATTCTATTTCTGCAGAGCCTATTCTATATACCATAATAGGGTAGAAAGTCCCCTAATTATTAGGCTGAGGCTGAAGCCCTCTAGTAATTGCTACAGAATGAGGCTGATATGCTTTAGTGGGATTTGATTCATGCCCTACACATAATCAGCTCCCTGACGTGTGGTGCCTCCTGTCCCCTAGTTCCCTTGGGAAACTTTCCTTGTCCATCAGTTTACACACAAATGTAAAGGTGTAGTATAAACAATTGTAATGGAAGCTGCATCATGTAATACTTGTCGGACTTCCCAAGATCTGTACAAGGTGTGTGATAACACACTCTAAGATTCAGTTTCATTGCCATCAACTTGTTTTCACACAATGTACGGTACAAAATACAATGTGCATATAATTATTACTGTATGTGTGTCTTTGTGAACTAAAGTATGTTGTTGGTTGCATTAAAAAGCAACAAAATCTGGTGGCTGAGATAAACAAGACTCTATTAGGCATGTAGAATGTCCCCCAGCTGTATGTCGACATCACAGCAGTGCCAGTTGGTCCACAGCCACAGCCCCAAGCACACACCTCCCTCTTCCAAGCATATCCGGAAGCCGCCGCCAAATCTCGCCTGCAGGGTCATAGAGGTCGACATATGCTAGCTTTTCCCTCCCCCTGTGCCCTCCGACCACTACAATGTCGCCGTTCACCACAGCAGCAGAGAATCCAGCTCGAGGATGGGGCATCTGGGACTCCAACCCAGCCCACTGGTGGGTGTCTGGGTCGTACCGGTAAATTGAGGGATGTCCCTCTCTTCTTGATGAGGCCCTCCCGCAGAGTATGTATATGGCCTCATCGCATTTGACGGCCTCGGAATACATGTGATAGGGGAGGGTAGTGGGTACAATCTCCCAACTGTCGCTGGATGGGGAATAGATGTGGATGCTGTACATGTCACTAGAACCGCGACCAAAGACAAAGATGGAGTTATTGTGTGTAACGGCAGCCGGGCTTCCTAGCTCTGCCCCCAATCTAGCCACAGGCCCCCATTCGTTGAGGTGTAAATCAAAGACCTCGGCGGTGTCTAGAGGAGCTCCCAGCCTGCTCTGGCCGGCAATGACGTACAGCCTGTTGTTGAGAGCCACGCACCCACTGAACATGCGAGCCTGGTTCATGTTGGGCAGAGAGGTCCACCGTTTAGACCTCTGGCAGTAAACCTCCACTGAGCTTAGAGTCGCCTTCCCGTTGTGACCACCGACTGCATACACCTTCCTGCAGTGAGCTACCACACCCCAATCGCTTTCTGGGCTCGTTCATGGACGGCCCGCGGGCTTCCAGCGAGCGGTGTGGTGGGCGTACCACTCCACGAAATGGACGACCGAGTCCCCGTCCCATCGCCGATGCACACAGGACTTGTAAGGTCTCCGCTGCTGGAAAAACAGTAAACACCTTTTTTTTACTCTTATGTACAAGCATGTTGAACAGTAGTTATGCATAAGGCTAGGTTCACAATATGTCGCATTGCCACGTCGCGAGGATACTATCTTCGCGGGAGGATGCGACATGGTACGGCGCGACGGGGCCATGCGACATATTGTGAACTTAGCTAACGCAAATGCTATCTACCCACATAAATAAGCTTAAATACTCAGCATAGGTATACTAACGATCTCATAGGCAAAAGCATTATGAACAGTATTTACATAAATACATGCCCCACATAAACAAGCACAAATACTTAAAGACCAGCTGAATGGACACGCACTCATACTAATGATCTTTGTTTATACAATTTGTTTGGTATCGCAATGTTTTACGCATGCAACTCTCTATTATACTCACCTGTGGTCTGGTGTAGTGCGGAGACAGTTGGACAGAAAGAGCTTGGCGAACCAGCTCCATGCACTTGGGCTAACCCGACACTATTACGTGAGGCCACACCCTCTCCACCAGTACACCAGGGAGGTTAGAAGGGAGAGCCGAACACAGCCCAGAACCCTGGGAGCGTGTCGAGAGCGAGAGCCAGCGTCGTGGTCCAACCACCGCAGTGCTGCCTCCACTACGACCTCTTCTTCCCCAGACACACAGAGATGGTTGCTGGACAAACACTCCTCCAGGTGCTCCAAGGACAACTCCAGGAAATCCTCCTGCTCGCTCACAGCCACGAAGTTCAGATTTCGACAGAGGCTGGCCGCTCTGTTTAATTCGGGGCAGGAGTACGTGTCTGCGACATGAAGTAGTTCCAAGCAGTTGGCTGGAGTTAGACAGCTACAGAGAAAGTCACAGCACACCTGTTTCACCTCTGAGAACTGCAGCATGTCTGCAGCACTTGTCAGTTGCAGAGCACTTGTGTAGGACAGCGACAAGGACGAAGAGTACGCAAAATCGACCAAATCTTGAACGGCATTAGACGGGATCTCCCCGAGGTCTACCTCTCCACTCTCACTCTCTTTCATCCCAGAGGTGAACATTGCAGAAAAGAACGGACTAGCGGCACACAACACAATCCTGTGGGCATGCAGACATAGCCCACCGCCAACCCGCAGCGTCACGTCACAGAGTGACCCAGACTCCCTCATTTTTCTCAGCTCACGCAGCAGAGTCAGTGAGTGGCTAGTACTAACGAAGGTTTGACTGGTGGTCCTCGCATCATCTGGTTCTGCATGCTCCATAATGCACTGATTCATGAAGATTATATTAGCTTCTTATACTAAGCAAGGCATGTTTTATACAGGAAGGGCCATGGGAAAGTGCTCACGTGTACATACGCGTAGTTGCATATCAAGATTTACAGTACATTATGATACATGTATGTATGTATATACAGTGCAATGAGTAAGAGCAAGATGGCATGCGTGATAGTTGGTTGCTGGCCCAGCAGAAGTGGTTGGTCGATAAGGCTCTAAAAATAGTACACGTTACGTCATTTCTATACAGAGGACATAATTATGTATGAAGTGTGCATGAGTGTAGTAGTATATACTACCTGATCCTAAAGTAAAAACAACAACCTTTGCTCATAAGAAGTTTAACAAAAGCTCATTTGGGGCCCCAAGGATCAACTTGCGTTATTAATAATGAATGCACATGCAACAAAAAAAAGAAAAAAAAGCGGGTGAGAACGACACTGAGGTAGGATTCGAACTCGGACCTCGGGTGTTACAGCCATTTTTACAGCATGCGCCACTCGCGCTACTTGCGCAGTGTGTGGTAAAACACTTCAGTGTTTAATCTGAGTCCCAATCAAAGCATTATACATGCACTTGTGCTTACCGGAGTGGAGTAAGGGTTGGCATGTAGTTTCCCACTGTACTGGGAGAAGGCAGAGACAAGAGGCTTGGTGTAGGATGACGAGGAACTGTGCAACAGTTTGCAGAGCTATGCACACGCAACACATAGGCAGAAACGAACGGTGAGAGAAGGGGAAAGGAGAGTCACAAAAAAAAATGGAAGGGAGAAGAGAAGGAATGTAGAATGGAATTGCGTGCTTGCAGGTAACTTTACTTTTTGATTGACAGTTGAAATCTGCACACCAGTGCTGGTATCTATGGGATATGTCTTGCAGCGCTGTATTGTACAAGAAAATTATGGCGTAAAAAAAGGGGAAAATGATAGGTGTAAGTAATACAACACAGACGGGTGGGTAAATAGATTATTTGTTAGACAATTTTATGTTGTCTCCCCGGTCATATTATCTTACAAAATTTTTTGTGTACTACATGCACATGTATAAGCATCACTGAAAGTTTCTACGTTTCAGTCGGGTCAGAGTCCAATTCATAACCAAGTATACGGATACAATGTGCACACGGATAGACTGTTGGTTGGTTTAAAATCCGGCCCACTAAAGAAACTTCCCGAGTGAGAGTCTCGTGTGATGTTGTGTCTTACCTGCTGTAGATAGGAGTGGAGGGTGGATAGCTGGGTGGCAAAGGAGGTGACCAGCTCGAGGCTGGCTCGCAGGGACACCAGGACCCTTCCCTGCAACTTGGCATCCACCACTGGCACATTCAGAGCCGCATACGTCTCACGTCGGACTGCAGGGACATGTGTACAGGGTGTCAATATGATGAAACTGCATATGTACATTATACGATAAAAATGGCTGTTTCAAAATGAGTGGAGAAGTTATACTGTCAGAATATATTTGCGTGCGAAAAGCTATGAAATATGGTGGGAAAGCTTGATCAAAGAATGGGAGTTTTTGGTTATTGCGCAGGCAAAAGAATCAGTGCTTAGAAAAAACAAGCCTCTAGGATCAGTTTTTGGACTAGTGTATGCACAGTAAGTGAAATTAGTAAATGTTTTCATCGCACTCTACATGTAAAGAATTTACCAGTTTCAGGTTGTCGTTCGGAACCAACCAAACCTAAAAAAATGAAAAGCACTAGAAATGTCAAACCTATACACATATGTGTGGTACAGTTAAACGATTGGCTTGGCTATGTGTTGTCAATTAACTCTCTTGCTAGTCTAGTACATTAACCTTCGCTGGGTATGTGTGAAGAGGGTTTAATGGAAGCACTTGAAAGTGGATAATCTTCATCACTCATAGTCAACATTACGCACAAACTCAACATGAAGAGTGGTTTTGTGGTGCTCGTTTTTCTGACATTATTATAAAAGTAGAATGGACATGGGGCAACATGCGTACCAATTAATGGTAATGGCAATCCAAAAGAGTTGTTGAGAAGCTTCTTACAATACTGGCCACGCATTAAAAAAGAAAACTAATGTTTTGCACTGTTTCATCTTATCCATGGGTTGATCATAAAATCTGCAATCTGAAAGAGTTATGTTGATAGGGTTCTTACATATGCAAAATACTGGCAAAACAAATAACTGAAGGTCTTTAATGAGCGAAAAACATAAATTCTTAAGGTTGAAAAAATTTGGCCAGCCCCGCATCTCTCCAGACAGATGTCTACGGACGCAGTGCCATGCCCAACTATACGCTACCCTTTGAGAAGCGTGGATCAATGGTAGATTCGTGGTAAGGAGAAGAACCAGAGCTGTTCCCAGCCAATGCTCTGGACCACCTGTAAGTTTCAGTGCTGGTCCGGGATTCGAACCGGGCACCTTACGCTGACAGTCCCCACGTCTATAACCACTTAGCCACTTGGGCTGGCCACGAGAGCTGATGAAATGAAAAGCACTAAATTGCAACCCTCTGTGAACTGCGCATGCGCGATACTGCTAATTGATGGGCTTGGGTATTGTATGCGTTTACTCGTGGTCTCCCGCTAGTAGCACACGGAGAGTCTGACACGGGATAGCTACGGTAGTAGATAGCATGCGAGAGTCGATACATGCCATTCGTTGTGACTTCTGAGCCCCCAAGGTACACAGAGCAAGTGGATCAGGTCGCAGTAAGCCCAGTGTGATTATGCACATTGGCTTTTTCGCTTGTTTTCACGGCATATCTCTCGAATGCAGTCGTTTCAGGAAAATCGCCTTTTCTTTTTCAGGCTCGCAGTCTTAGTTCTGAAGCCGCTGGTATTGCTAATAGGCCGCCTCGTAGCCTGTAGTGCCAGAATAAGCGTCGACACACAGACAGACAGACAGACAAACCAACTGTACCCCTCGCTGAACATGCGCGCCGAGGGTGAAAAATGTTCCCGTTACATACATTATTACATTATTATAAATGACCCACCCCCAGGATTCGATCTAGTCTGCGAGTCTTTATCCATCAGGCCACACCCATACTTGTGTTGGGAAGGTTCAATACTGTATGCACATGCAAACCCTCGGCGCACTGCGCGTGCGTAAGTATACGCATGCTACTTGATGGGACTATTTTGACTCCACTGTAATACTTGTGGTCTCCTACCAGCCCCTCTGAGAGTCTGTCATGGGCTAGTTACACTAGTAGATAGCATGCGGCAGTCGATACACAGCCCGAGCTGCAACTTTTGGTGCCTCTAAGGTACACAGAGCAAGCGGTTCTGGTCGAGGTAAGCCTGTGCTAATTTGCATATTAGCTTTATCACTATGTTTTCACACAATATCTCTCGAACGCAATGCTTTTACAAAATTCGCCAAATTTAAAACCAAGCTAGTGTAGCGCTGAACCTTTTGATATCGCTATTGTTGTCTTGTTGAGTGTGTGGCAGAAAACGCGGCAACAGACAGACAGACAGACAGACACACTAACGAACCAAGTACCGTAACCCTCACTGCACATGTGTGCCGATGGTTAATACAGTGAAGATGCACATGCAGACAAGCAATATACACTCCATATCCACAAAGGTAATAGTAATACTGACCAATGGGAGAAGACTCCCGGAGTCTGCCACTTAGCTCTTGCTCCCTGGACCAATACAACAGTATACAATGTACCACGTGTAATCAGCTGAATACCTCTGCAGTGTATTCTTTAGTGATTTCAGCTCACTGCTGTATTTGGCTAACTTTGCCTGTAAACGTAAGAAATTTGACTGAAGCACTAGTTCATAGTGTGTGTGTGGGTTGTGGTCAGACCTCCAACATGGCTCTGTTGTTTGTCATGGCCTCTACTTCCGTCTTGTGTTCTCTCTCTTTTTGTTCCATTTCCTCACTGAATGACGACATATCACTGCACACGCACACACACACACACTGACTTTGATGACAGAAACTGCAACTGTCTACATACGATTCGAGTTTGGCTCTTGTTGTTTGAAGAGCAGCGGCAGATTTCTGCGACTCATGAGCCAACTCTGAGACCTGCACAATCAACATTATAGCTATATACAGTACAAATATCTTCCTCATGCTGCAGTATATTGCAGAGATGCACTGATCTAGCCAGTGGTTAAATTCAGGTCTGGCACCAGAGTGCACAAGGGGGACATAGTCACTCTGTCTCTTCATTTGTCCCCTGAATATGCTTCACATGGGACACTTTGCCCCCAAATAGTACTTAGCTGTAATTGGGACCATCAACAAATACAATCTCTCAAATTTCACGCAACAATGTCATAATACCACTGCTCACTTTGAGGTGGAGTTGTTCATTCTGTGCAATCTTGGCAGCTAGTTCCTGGGTCTGTACGTCACCAGAGACGGTGCCCACCACTCCATCCACTGCATTAGGCCCTCCAGCACCTCCTCCCACCTGTACACCATGGCAGGGTGGAATATACACCAGCAAACTATTCATCACCTATTCACGTAGGGTGAAAGTTTATAAATGCCGCATGCATTATAACTACAGGGTGGAGGAGGTAGTGTTGTCATTATCAAATGGCACCACAGGTGTATCTAAGTGTGATTCTCGTCACACATTGGAATGCCCTCTTGGCTATTGTTAGCGGTAGCAAAACTGGACAGAAATCTCATTACGCATAATGTCAGGGAAGTTCTCTAATCACTTTCCCAATGCAAATGTGAAAACTGACATAGCTCATTGCACATACTGTACTTGAATGAGATTTAGCTAAAGGTCACACATTACTAAACCCACTGTATGTGGTGACACACTGTCAACAGCAGCTATGTACACAAAACATGAACTCCCAATCACCCAAGATATGCACAATTTTACCTAGTCGGGTCACTTCTGCTCTCACCTAAAGGTACACATTATGCACAACAATAATAAACAACAACTCCACCTTCTTTTTCCTCCTGGAGAGAGGGCTACCAAGATCATCTTGCAGCATCTCTACTCTCTTACTCAACTACAGAAATATGACAGTGAGCACACATCAATACTGTGCTACAGGTAATTTCCTACAGGTAATTTACATTGTTAGCAGCATGAATGCAATGTACTTTTGGCGAGAAAACGCGACAGTTACTGGCACATGCAGCAACGAATGCAAAATTCAGTTCTTTCATGTGTACATATTACGGTAAGAGTGGGTAACGTTGGATACAACATAAGCACAAAAAAGAAGCTTGCGCAATTCAGATGACTACACGGGTAGGCTCACTTCACGTTAACTTCTTGTCCTCAATTTTGTCAATGTTGACATTAGCAGTGGGAAGAGTTGTGTTAATCACCTGTTGGTTCCTGAATTCCAGTGACTCATTCTCCTGTACATGTTTCCTTAGAGACAAGGCTTTCTCTCTAACACTCTCCTAGGCAACCAACACAAACAAACAACAAGATCTCTGTATGGCACATACATACCCTGTGCAGTAACGGTAGAGCAAAATGCATCATTTGTACCCATGAGAAGGTAGGTGTTGTTATTGATGGGCGTGACCAAAAAACACAGGGATTTGTAGCATGATTTATCGTCCCCATGCACAGTTTAGTCGATTTAAAGCAAAACCAAGCCAGTTCTTGCCGTTAGTTTTGCTCCCCTTAGAACTCATTAGGACGCCTAAATCTCTAGATCTCGGTAATCTTTTGTGACGACAACAACAACAGACATGAGAAAGGCTTGGGTGAGTGGGGAGAGTTCACCGGTGAGGGTTCACCGGTGATAAAAGACTCTTTAACCCACCATCCCTGGTCCTCAAGGCCGAGGCACCCTTCTATGCTTATAGGTCTTGCTAGCTGACCTCTCTAATGGTACTGCCCTACACTACTCATATATTATGTCATTTTTGTGCTGCTGCGTTCCTATGGATGTTATTTTAAAAACCTTTTATACCTTCTATATATATATGATATATCACCTTTTGATAACTTTTATACCACCTGTATCCGTACCGTCTGTTGTAGTCATTTCACCACCATCGTGCATCAGCTCACGTGTTTTTGCAAGTCCCAAGTAAGCCCTTATGTATGTTAATTGTAGTCCCTTTTCAAGTCTGGTTTTACTCCTTTCTTTCTTTCTTTCTTTCTATGTATATAGCGTGAGCTGTTCAGTTTTCATATGTACAGTGTAACACACATGTACACAAACAGATCACATATATAATTACATGGCCCCTTGTGCATGTGCAGAGGCTAATGACTTTGTACTAGCCAATGTCAATTAACACTGTACAGCAGAATTATGTTCTTGGTACACAAACAACTTCGAAATCCCAACGTGCAACTTTAAAACACAACTAGCTCCTGTTAACCTCTGTTCATTGAACATGTATTTTGATGGCCCCCTGGAATTCACAATAACAAACATCCCAGTAGAGGCACGTCAACGTAAGGAGAAAGTTGTGCATTGTATAAATAACTGTGTGAGTATGACCTACTGATATGGACAACAATACTCCAGCAGAGAGCGAGAGACTTGTTCCAAAAACAGCTCATTATTATTATACACCTCACTGTGAGGTGATCCCCCCATAACCCTCATATAAAAGATGGTGCAGCCTAAGTTGCAGAGTGTAATGTCATAATGTTATATACGAGATGGAAGCCTATTGAACATATGCTGAGTGACCACAGCTACACACACATAAATATACCTGCAGTGATTCTCTGAGGGACTTCTCCTCTGTTACAGCCTTCTTTAGCACATCAACATGGCTCCTTAGCTGGCAGGGGAGGTACGTAGACAGGAGAGATGTAGAGACGGAGGAAGGCAAGGCAAAGAAGCGAGAGAGGAAATCAAGAGATAAAGAGATTTGCTGGACTGTGCATTAGGAGTCTTGTGGGTCCCCACTGGTGTAGAAGGCTCCGTATTTACAAACTACAGCCCTATACTTGGAAATTATATCACACATGTAGCGTCTATCTACACTTTTCTACTAGCGCATATAGCTACACGGAACATAAACAAGTAGATTCTATATACAATCGAGAGGTGGGCGTTTTATAGAAAACAGTCAGCATCAGTGCCTCACCTTTGCGTACTCTTGAGCTAGTCGCTGGTACTTGGTCTGTAGCTCGGAGCCCATTACTCGAGAGCGCAGAGCCTTCGCTATATAGCTCAGCAGCATAGAGGTAGAGAGGAGTTGAGCTGTCACACGCGCATGCGTGGGTGTGCCAAAGGGGGGTTGGGGGTTCCCCTCCGTGTTTCGCAGCTCGTGGGGTCGCACGGTCGAGGTCAGGCTTGATATCTCAAGTATATACCATGCAACTCTCAATAGTGGCTGGGAGACGATGAAGGACAGTCTGGTGGCTGGCAGTGTGTCTGGAGCTCTCACCAGGCTCTTTACCTGTCCCCTGGACGTCCTCAAAATACGCTTCCAGCTTCAACTGGAGCCCATATCCCAAGTACGGCTCGTCAGCCTCTTCATTGGAGAGACTAAGACCATGTTTGTCCGGCTCCCAGTTGTCCCAGAGCTCCAAGTACAAGAGTGTACTGGATGCAGTGAGGACCATTCTTAGGGAGGAGGGAATCAGAGCCTTCTGGTACAGCTACTACAGCTCAATGCATTATTAATATGGATTCTTTCTGCATGATTCTCAGTGCCCTACTTGCTATACTATAACGCAGGAAAGGTATGTTTGTTGGGCAGGTGTTGTACGTGGTGTACAGTGGAACACAGGTAAGACTACATAGCTAACGGTGGCCTCTCGTTATCTTATGGCCCACTCTCCACCAGTTTTACACATTTGAGACATGCAAAGCAAGAGTCCACGAAACCTTCCCCAACCTTTCACCCCAGTTGGGATGTTGGTTAGTTTGTAACTCTCTCGGTTATTATGCATGACTCCAGTATTACTGTTGAGCAGTGACCAACTTTGGTGTGGGGACAGTGGCTGGAGGTGTGGCTGCATTTGCCAGTCACCCTCTGGATGTAATCAGGACACGATTTGTAGGACAGGGGGAGCCTAAGGTAACAACACATGGAATGCAATGAGGTACATGGAGCTGTGTTGACACTGTGTTTTTGCTCTCAGATCTACCCCAGTGTCCCCAGAGCTGTCATACTGATGTACCACGAGAAGGGTGTTCTCACATTTTATAGAGGTAAATCAATATTATACTGAGGACCCTCTTATATACAATTAGCACTCTGAGTAAAGGACACCTGTTAGGAAGGTCGATCATACTTCACTTTATTATTAAAATTGACCGAGAACCTCTGTACTGGAACGAATGGCACGTCATATATTTTCTGGTGAGCAAGTGCAGGAGTCACACGCACACGGCATACACGACTGTAAACTTCCAATCAGTTACAAGCATTTTATAAAACATGTAGTACATAATGGTACGAGTGTGACAGTGCTGCCCACATAGAATAATTGTATCGAGACGACAGGGTTGCTATGCTTGGTGATTAAAGCTAATGATCCAAGTGTATGTTGTTCATATGAAGGCAGCAGACTACTGCTGTAAGTACGTAAAGTTAAAGGGAATGTGCCAGTAAGTATAATAAGGGCCAACTATTAAAATGTAGGGCCCAGTGAAATAATGCAATTATTTTCCGTTTTTAGTAACTGTTTCTATTTAACCCTTTGTACTGCCATATTCCCTTTAATACATAGGTCTTTTACCATCTCTGATGTACACTGCTGCACAGGCTGGACTCTCATTTGGGTTCTACCACGGATATATCAAGTTGCTGACACACTATGCGCCATTTATACATGTACGTTGGTACTATATTAGAACAGTATATACTGCAGTGTGTGTGGAGGGTAGCCTCGTTCCGAGACCTTCCCCACCATGAGTAAGGTGTTGCACAAATGCATGTGTCATCAACATCAATCAGGTAAAAGCAAATAGCACAATCATGTATTTACTATATACACGTAGGACAACTGTGTTTGAGCTGCCCTATATATAATATATAGGTGGGATTTGAAACCATGGCACTCTGCATTCTAGGCAAGCACTCTACCAGCTGAGCTATCAGGGAAACTGTGTAGGAGTTCGAGGTCGTTCAGATATTTTCTGCAACGTTTTGTGCATGGTATAATTATATCGAAATAAGGGTGCATGGAGGAGTGTCCTGTTTGTTAACCATCCACGATGCAGCAATCTCTGCTCTTCCCACTGTGTGGAGCTGTGGCTGGAGTCTGCAGCAAGACCATCGTCCTTCCCTTTGACCTCATCAAGAAACGTCTAGCGGTAGGTAGAGTGTATTTATGACAGTCTCGTCTCAAAATCCCCAAATCCTTATGTCAAATTAATACTGTAGAGACTATACACAGTATTATAACAATACTCAAATTGTACTAGAGAGTTAATAGGGAAAATTGACCATGGCCTTCTTCACATGATCACCATCTTAAAGCAACACAAAAATTAAATTTCGCAGCTAAAAGGTCTTTATGTATATATACATACCTATAGCTGCTGTTAAAGATGAGACAGTATTTAGCGTTTTTGAAATTTGACCAGTGAAAGATATGATTACTGCCACATTAACTGGCACAGGTCCAGGGATTTGAGGAGGCCAGGAAACAGTTTGGAAAAACTGCTCGCTACAGTGGAGCCATACACTGCTTCAGGAAAATTGTACGGGATGAGGGAGCTATGGCATTCTACAAGGGCACTGCACCATCCATCATAAAGGTATATATCATAGTGAAACTTCTGAATGAGGGAGACTTCGGGGTATTGAAAGTGTACTTTATTCAGAGGAACCCTTGGTTGGGTCATGTGTCTATCATGTGAGCCCCGTGTAGTATAAATGTTGTATTGTTGTACCCCTGCAGGCCGGGTTCAGCGTATCACTGTCCTTTCTGTTCTATGAACACACACTACACTGGCTAAAATCAAGACATAATTAGCAGCATTCCATGTTTATCATGAAAACTATTTTGTTACATTTTTACTGCATCTTTTGGCAAAAAGGAGTGTAAAAGGCAGTGAGTGTATAAGTGGACAAGTTGATGTGGGTTGCACCGTTGGAGCACACAAAGGAATAGGTGATACGATCGTCACTGGTTCTTCATCTGGTAGCCGTGTTCATAGATGTACTGTGCCAGCTCCTTCTTGTCAGCCACTCCCTCATACAGTGACCCCAGACAGTCCGAGTGTTGTTTCGGAGACAAAGACTCTGGGCACCGACTCTCGTGCCAGCGGTGGATGAGGGAGGGGTCTGGTGCCTTCAACACCTCCAGTTTAGCCTTGAGAATGGCATCGTACAGCATGACATCCTCCAGACCCCACCCCTCAATCTGGATGTCCAGGCCACCCACCGCCGTGTAGTCCGACTTGTATATGCAGAGCATCCCGTAGCTATAGTAGAACCAGTGGCCACTCTGCCTGTTGATTGGAGGTTTTCCCGACTTTGGGTTTTTGGTGTGGGAGTGTCTCGGGTCGTAGAGTTTGAAGACCACGGGGTAAAACACCCTCTGACCCTGGATAGTGTTACGCCTGCAGCGGTCCATGAAGGAACGCTCTATGGTGATGTCGACGTCGCAGATGAAGACGAGGTCGTCGTTTCCTAGAGAAGAAATCCCGTGATGGAGCGCCCGACCACGGGAGAAGGTCCCCTCACCGTGGATGAGGGATATTCGGGCCGACTTGTGGCGGGAGCGGTAGTGATCAATTGTCTTCTCCAGTTCAGAGGTGTCCTCCTGATAGACCACAAGCACCAGGTGGACTGCGTCCTTGTGCTTCAGAAAGTCTGTCTCAAAGTTTCCCATAAACTCTAAAAAGCGATTGTTGACATTAGAGATTGGCACTACGACGTTGACGACTCTATTGGAGGCGGCTATGTCTGGTAGGGCTATGGGATCTGACGGAACCTGCACAAAACTGACACGTCTAGAGAAAGGTTTGGCCACGCAGTTTAAGCATGTGTCTACGTAGCTTGCGTCGACGATGTACTCGTAGCCTCGTGTGGGGTTGTACCTGACATACCCACCGGTGAGGTCCTTCATTCGAACACTCTTCCCAAGCTCTCTACTCACTAACTGGGTCGCATGTTCTAGTGCTGTCTTGATGCCAGCGTCAGCATTGTGGTCTGCATGTCTCCAGTGCACCATACTCACAGTACTATCGTCAAAGACGGCCAAAGGAGTGAAATACTGCCAGCTCTGTAGATCAAACTTGTCTTTTGCGTAGTACTTGGGAGGAACGTGGGGCTCTGAGTGGTGAGTGTGGGATAGATTACCTGCGTAAACATTAACACTTCTTGCAAAGGAGGGAATAGTTCTGGGTAGGGGCATCATTTCTATTTCAGGTTCGCGGTAGAGTCTGGTGTTCACAGCATATGTGGTCCAACCAATGAGAATCCCAGCAACAAATGCCAGTGTCCACCGAGGTACAGTGTTCAACCTGCTCCACGGATATGACATTGTACTTCCTTGCCCTGTTGATACACATACACACACAGACATACACCCATCCATTAGTACATGAAGATGAACAGTTGGCCTCTGTCATATCCCTATATTGTACGTAAAAACAATGACCCTTACTCCTAAAGAATGGCGATATAATTATGATAGGACGAGAACAAAGGGTGACATGCACACGGCTGGTGGCAGTACAAGCTAGGGTCAGCTAGGCTACCAGCTTGCAGCACCTCACCTCCTATGTAGCTTGTAAGTCCGCTAGTGAGTGTCCCGCTCCACCTTCGGAACAACCTGGCTACGTTCCCGGCCCCTGGCGTTCTATGTGAGGTGAGAGTAGACCGGGGAACAACAAGGCGTGTCAGCAGGAAGACGACCCGGCGGTGGCAGGAGACGCTGATACCTGGAGGTCGCGACAAGGAAGACTGATTAAAACTCGGGAGAACACATCCAAGAGCTAGTACGATCACTTCATAGCCAGCTCAGCGGAGCTCCGGACAGGCCAGAAAACGGTTGGGGAATCATTCTCGTGGTCTGAAGACACAAACGGCACCCCGATGGATGCTGAATTGACAAAATGTAACGCATGGGCTAGTGGTAGGGAATACCCCCCAGCCAATGGGGATACATCATAGAAACACTATAAATGCACACACATTTTAGATTTGACAGTTCTGGGGGGTTGTTCGGTTCTGGCTGAGTATTCCAGCCTGCCTGCCACCATGGTGTGCTGGAGGTGCAGGTCCTCGTCAAAGAAACACAGATCTGCCCTCTTCCCAGTCTCAATGCCCCCTACATGCTTCAGTCCCACTATCCTGTGTGTTTATAACTTGTAATGAAACACTGAAATATTATTATAGGTATCCCCTATTTCTCCCCTTGCGTTGGTACAACACTACCGAACATGTTAGTAGGATTGGCTCCAGTCAGACTACGTAGACATAGATGTGTCGTAGATGCATCAGACAATGTATTAAAGCACAGAACATTTTGTGAGTGTTAAACTCACCTCGTATGATAATAATTATAATGCTCAAACATTAGATGTCTAGGACGAGCTACCAATAGAGTTAAAAACAGACTTAAAAAATTAGCGATGGTTGGCCTGCCTCATCTCTCACCTGGCAGGGTTCTCTGAGAGCATGGCCACTGCCTGGCCCACTGGGACGTCCAGTATCTCCACCAGGTTGTGCAGTATGTCCACCATGGAGCAGCAGCTACCAGCTATGGTGTCCGACCCCACCAGGGACATGGTACGGCCATTAGGGGATACCTGCACTGAATGGGAGAGATTGCATCTTAGTAATGTTGTTCATATGTTGTCAGATACAAGTAAGTAAACTTGAAGCATGTAACGAGGTAGCAAGGGAAAAGCAAAGCAAACAAGTCAACTACACCCAGGACAACTCTTTTTAAAAAGAAGAGCTGCCCTAGGTTGGATTCGAACCCACTACACTCTGCTGTCCAAAACCCAGTAGCACAGTATACTCTCAATCAGCATGTACATTTCATGCCTCAAGTATACAACTTTCTCTGGTGTTGTTATAGTATGTGCAGCACTCCACTACTGGTGTGTTGCATGCATTAGCTCACACTGTCTGTCTAGGTAGCGGATGACTTGCCCTGGAACAGGCTGCGAGACTGAGTCCGTCACAAAACAAATGTTCTTGAAGCTCCGACTCCTCAGAATGGTGCTCACTGTCAGGGGATGGCTGTAGCAATACAAGATACTATACATAAGTAAGCTATCCGTGCCAGTACTTATGTGTTTACATTACTACTGTATACTTCTATGCACTGATCCTATACCTGGTTCGTTACAGGGAGCGACACTACTCAGTATCTAGTACATTCCAAGTAGAGTACTCTGTGTATGTCCCCATATTGGCTAGCTGCCCTGCATTATAATACTAGTATAGGTAATGCAGCTAATAAGCTACATGCATCACATTACATTGATGCTGCATGTGATCAGACGTTGCAGAGTGTGGTAAGTCTCACAGGTGAGCTAGATCTCCAATGACCTCCACGGTTGGTGGCTGGAGCTCCCGGTACTGTGGGAGGCTGGGGAGCTTCTCCACCAGGCCAAAGTTCACCAGACTCGGCTGTCTGTGAGTACTGATAGTGAATCCTTGAGCAGAGTTTGCACATTCCAACAACGCTTGAATGGGGTACTTATGAATTCAGGGAGATTTACACACAAAAAGGTGTGTGTACTCAGCAAATGCAAAATTCCATCAAGTTATGCACCACCTGTGGACAGAACGTACCCATGGACAGCATGTAATGTACACACTTATGGACAGAAAGCCATGCATAGACCTACTGTATATACACCATGCACAGACCTACGGACAGAAAGCTATTAACACACCTATGGTGGAAAGAGGACACGTTGAAGAGATGTGTTATGTGCATGGTGTGTCCCGGTCGAGCCACAGCCAGAGCTCCCAGAATCTCACTCTCAGTGGCCACTTTATCGTGACCCAGGGCTGGCAGAATACCTCTGTAGTGTGACAAGAGTAAATGATACCATAGCACCAACCAATTCGCTGATTGGGAGTTTCAAAGTTTTGGCCTTTTTTACTTGCCTCAGTACAGCTGATAAGTGGGTGGCAGCAGAGTCCTATAACACAACTAACTGTGTAGCAGCGTATAACTATATACATAGGAGGTGGAAAAACCTTGAAATTTGATTGAAAGACCATCTGAAAAAGATAGTTGATCCCTCCACAACTTTCTAATCCTATCACTTTTCTTCATTAAAAGTTTCCCAGTGTATGAGTTTTGCACTACTACAGGTCAGAGGGACATGCATCATTGATCTGTTGGATGACCTGTTCACAAGAGCCTGAATGCGGAGGTAGTTGTTGGAGGTGTCAAGGTGAGGGCTGATGGTCATCATACGAAGACTGGGCATGGAGTCAAGTAGACTCTGGAACTCTGTCAGTGTCAGGTCCTGGTGACTGGGAGGAAGGCCACCTAGATCATTCACCACCGGACCCTAGCAGTTATTAATCACATCATACACAGAAATGTCATAGCAGTGAGCCTTCTAATGGCAGCATGTTGCTTGTAGATACAGGAAACTGAATACACAGGGCAACTTTGTTGCTTGCAATTATTATGGATGAAGAGGATATCGCATAGCTGGTGTTATCATTGAAATGGGGCTCGAATTACACACGCAGTTCGGTGTTTTAATACACCATTGATATCTCTGTTGTAATGTGGAAATATTTGGCCTCAGAGATCAAAAGGCTGTGGTTCCATTTATAACAGTATACAAATATTGTATATACCTCAGCATGAATCCCTTCCAGCACTGCCCCATAACCAGTCTTGCCACACCTCTCATTGAGAACATCCAGAGTGGCCTGAGTCTTAGCATGGCCTCGGGGCAGCACCACTGTAGCTAGGAACGACGTGGTCCCATAGCGTGGGAACAGACGCTGAGAGTGCTCTGTATGGTTTGGTTAAGCAATGGAGGATTAACGCCATGCAATGCACGTGATCTTACCAGGCTGCAGCCAGAAATCCACCACATCCTCAGCACCACCTGCAAAGATATAATTACTACATTCTCACGGTTGCAACTGGCATCGGTGAGAATGGTGTGGTATGATGGGAGCTATAGAGACGGTTGCAGGAGAGCTCTTTTACCGAGTCCGTGTGTATGGGTGTCGACGAACCCCGGGCAAAGGAGTGGAGTGTGCATTGTTGGATAGTCCGTGACTGGCGCTGAGGAGCGGCCTCTGAATACTCCGGATATCCTCCCTCCCTCCACTGCCACGTACACTGGGTCCTCCTCCAGCACGCCTCCTGGAAGCACTGCCCTGTCAGCCTGGATCAGTAGCGTCTCCATCGCTCACGAACTAGCTCCACCCACTTTTGTGCAAACAGAGGCGTGCGCATGCGCATTTACGTGACATGGAGCTCGCAGTTTTTTCACTGCAAAAATGATGCTACCTACTACACAAATGAATGGCTGACTTGTCTATCCATGTATTAGGGATTTGCAAAATTGACGGACTGACATGTTGCACGCTTGCACTGCAAAAATCCCAACTGTTGGTGACGATGATACTGGCTACAAAACAAACTATGTATGAACACATGTTCTCCATAACCAACAACATGCATTTCTCTCCATTCTCCATAACCAGGGTAGTGTTCAGGGCTGCAGTTGGTGACTCCTCACAGTTGCCAAATTCTTCACATCTGGAGCAGCTGAGTCTCCAGTCACTGAGGTAAACTCAGAAGCTCTCCTTATGATCAATGAAGACACTCTCCTTATGATCAATGAAGACACTGGTATTAGGCTGCAGTAACCTGATCCCAGTCTTGATCATGATTACTTTTTATTTTAAAGGTTCATTTTCCCACTGTGGCAGGTGAGCGGAGAAAAATCATGTCATCTACCCTCCAATCTGAGACATGGCCAGAGCAGTATCTCCACCACCCAGTCCTCCTCCTCCTCCTCCTCCTCCTCCCCCACCTCGAGGAGGGTGAGGGTGGCTGTGGAGGATAGCTCCGTTTGTCTCTACCGCACCATCTCTGTCTCTGAGTCCGACAGAGCTGGTGCTGTCGTCAAGGAGGCCATGAAGAAACACGGAATTAAGGGAGATCCCTCTCATTATCACTTGCAGTTGGCCAGTCGTCTTAACAAACGTAAGCCATTGTGAAACTATCTCTTACACCATCGGAATCACCGTGAAGTCCGGTATATATTGAAAGTGATGGTGACATGTGGATACCCACGTTTTCCCCTTCTGCAGGCAGCAGGCTGTCTTGTGATGCCAACGTCTTTTATGCTCTTGGAGACACTTCAATATTGATATTGTGCAATAATAATCACATGGGAACATAACTAAAATTCACTTTCACAACTAGCATTCACTTCCAGCTTTGAACAATTATCGTCGTTGGCAAATTAACCGCAACGTCCACGAATAATCGTTACATTGCGTCTGGAGAGCGAGCGAAGATGGTGTCTAATTTATTAGCTGGAAAGAAGGAGAGGGTAGCTCAGTAGTATGCCTGGCTACAGAGACGTGACTCCTGTGGAGCCACTGAAACCTGGGCTGTTATGTTCTGAGTGCAACTTACTGCTGAAAGAGCCCGTGCAGACGGGGGAGGGAGATCGCCTCTGTCGCTCCTGCTACGATGATATCAAAAAGAACGGAGTCTCCCAGAATGGCATAAAACTCGGAGAGGAACCGGTTAGTACTTTCTGCTGATTCACTGCCCCTCCCCAGTGCACTGTCACCGCACTGCTGCTCCGGGGCGTTGCAAGTATTAGCACGCAAACCCATGATAACCAAATCCTGCACCTACCGCGCAGTGTTATCCTGACCGAGCCGTGGGTAAAGAGATAACGCAACTCAAAGTAAGGTGTGCTAACTACTCAAGCGGGTGTCCCTGGCAAGGAAAGCTACAAGAGTATGAAGTAAGTAATGCGGTCCTCCAAACATCAATATTTCATAGTTGTTTTGCTCCTCAAGGATCATGATTGTCAGCATAAGCCTCAATTGTGCCCCAACGAAGGCTGCGGGGAGATGATCTCCAAGCCCGAGTTCAAGACCCATTGGACTAAGAGATGCAACTATAGAAATGTAAATTGCAAACACTGCAAGGAAAAGATGATTGCTAAAGACCTGGAGGTAAATGAGCAGTGGATATTGATGCACTGCTCAATAATGTCATGTCCGTTCTCAGGCTCATTATGTGAGGTGCCCGGAATATCCAGTGAAGTGCGAGAGATGCTCGCAATCTGTCAAGAAAAGTGGCCTTGAAGATCACGTTGCAAACCACTGTCAATTTGTTGAATGCTCTTGTGGGGACATTGTAAGTGTAGCGCGCGGGGCTGTCCCAGGGATTCCCCCCCAAAAGGCGGGCAAACCCGGGGAATATCCCTGGGACTCCCCACTCCGATTTATAGAGCCACTACAATCACTTCATTACAGGTGAAGCGGAAGAACTGGGAAGCTCATTTCAGGGAAGATGGGGCACTGTTCAAGCATATGAGCTCCCTACAGCACCTCCTTAGATCTTTACACAGCTCACATAGACAACTCTATTCCAAGTTGGACGAGAAACAGAAATTAATGGAAGTAGAAACCACAGCTACTGGAGAACTGTCGAGAGTAGAGACTGAACTAAAGGCTTTTCAAAGTCAGTATGAAAACCGCCTTACAATACTACAAAAGAAGCTCGGTGCATTAGATACCGTGAGAGGAGACATTGATTCCGTACGCCGTGACTGTTCTAAGCTGACGGATACAAGTAAGACCATGGGAGGGAGGCTTGAAGCCCAGGAAGACAAGTTGAAACAAGTGCAGGGTCAGGTGGTTACATCGAAGGGTAGACCAAGTTCTGGGGCATCTCGGTACGGCGACAGTTTCTCCGATTCCAGGATGGCAGTTGTTGAAAGAAAGATTGAGGAGTTAGAGAGACAGAACACGATGCTAAAGGTCCACGTATCAGAGCTTGAGCTCCAACTGCAGGCTTCACTGGCTAGCACTCACAACGGCTCGTTCCTGTGGCGAATCCCCGACGTTGCCCGGAGAAGGAGAGACGCGATCGAAGAACGAATCACGTCGATATACAGCCCTCCGTTTTACACCGGGCGGAATGGGTACAAGATGTGTATTAGAGCCTATCTGAACGGAGATGGCATCGGGTTCAAGACACATCTCTCTCTCTTCTTTGTTCTAATGCGAGGCGAGTATGACCCGCTGTTAAAATGGCCGTTTGAGCACAAGGTCTCGCTAATACTAGTGGACCAGGACCACAGAAAACATATTGTCCAGACATTCAAACCAACTCCAGAGAGCAGCTCCTTCAAACGGCCAACTTCAGATATGAATGTTGCGTCTGGATGCCCGCAATTTTCCAAGAGTGATGTACTAGACGAAAATAATTACGTAAAGAGTGATATTATGTACATCAAGTGTATTGTTGACGTATCTCGCATTTTTCACCCCTGAGTGTATTGTGATGACTATTTTCCTCGTGTGAGTGGTCACTGACTCCACATTGGCCCCTGTAAAGCTTCGAGTTTCTGGAGAGTAGGAAGTGAATAAAGAATCAGGCTTGGCAATTATGGACTGCATGGACTATTTTTACCACATGATCTGAAATAACGTGGGTGTGGTCATAATTAACCCTCGGCGCGCATGCGCAGCGAGGGTTACAGTACTTGGGTCTGTCTGTGTGTCAGTCTGTCTGTCAGTCTGTCTGTTACTCTTCATCTCACTTCTCGAATGTTCTTTCGTCTCACAAAGGATACCACCTACTGAACGGGCAATGAAGGTCAGAAATTTCGAGAGGTTTTCTCTGAAACTGCTCCGTTGCAAAGCTAGAGCGCGAAAAAGCAAATATGCAAATACACAACGGACGGGATGGCTTACCACAGTCGGATCGATCCGCGTGCTCTGCGTACTTCGGAGGCACCAGAAGATGCAACGCAGGGCGTGTATCGCCTCTCGCATGCTATCTAGTAGTGTAGTTAGCCCGCGTCAGACTGCGCGAGCTGGCGAGGTAACAGCTAAAACTAAACCCAGCCCATCAATTAGTGGTACGGCGCATGCGTTTACTTACGCGTGCGCGTCACAGTGCGCCGAGGGTTTGCACTTCAGTGCTTTTCATTCTATATAGTGCACATGCACGTTCACCACCGATATCTTGCACACCCCGTCTTTTTGGTTATATGAAAAGAAGTTTTGTACAAGCAAGTAACAGCTTAGTTTTTGAGTAAGATGTGTGACAAAATTATAATGCACGCTCAGTTTATTAGTTCTTGAGTGTTCACATCCCTTCAACTGCAAGTGGGAGAGAGAGAGAGAGAGAGAGAAATAATAACCAACACACTCTAGGAGAGATCAGAGCTGCTTACTGTAAGAGGAGACATCTATTTCTGCCGGGAGGACGGTGATGTTCACCTCGAACCTGTCCTGGACTGAGTTCAGTATCTTGGCATCCGTCTCGTCTGACACGACGTCACCGAAAGACCCTTCGTCCCAAACCTACCAGCCCTGGCCACCTGCAAACACATGTATGTAATTTGAAAGAGTCTGCTACCTGTACTGTAAAAACCTCCGAAAAAGGACTCTAATAAAAGCACACCTTTCTATAGAGGGCACTTGGTCTCTATACTAACAATAGTGCGGGCGCTCTAATAAAAGCACACCTTCCTACAGAGGGCATTTGATTCTCTATACTAACACAATAGTGCGGGACGCTCTAATAAAAGCACACCTTTCTACAGAGGGCATTTGATTCTCTATACTAACACAATAGTGCGGGATGCTCTAATAAAAGCACACCTTCTACAGAGGGCACTTGGTTCTCTATACTAACACAATAGTGTGGGGACGCTCTAATAAAAGCACACCTTCTGCAGAGGGCACTTGGTTCTCTATACTAACACAATAGTGCGGGACGCTCTAATAAAAGCACACCTTTCTACAGAGGGCACTTGGTTCTCTATACTAACACAATAGTGCGGGACGCTCTAATAAAAGCACACCTTTCTACAGAGGGCACTTGGTTCTCTATACTAACACAATAGTGCGGGACGCTCTAATAAAAGCACACCTTCTACAGAGGGCACTTGGTTCTCTATACTAACACATAGTGCGGGACGCTCTAATAAAAGCACACCTTCTACAGAGGGCATTGGTTCTCTATACTAACACAATAGTGCGGGACGCTCTAATAAAAGCACACCTTTCTACAGAGGGCATTTGGTTCTCTATACTAACACAATAGTGCGGTACGGTTCTGAAGATAGGGACACTCAAGTGTCCTCCAACGTGTCCCATACTCAGAGGTTTCAGGGAAGAAAGAAAAATGGTGGCACAAGTGACTACTAGTGCTCAGAGCCTGTAGAGGTACATACACACTACAGGAGTGCGGATGATGTGGTGCCATTAGTGACAGACAGACAGACCCTGTGGAGGTAGGTGTCAGAGCTCTCAGGCATGTCATAGTTGATGACAATATTCACTCGCTCGATGTCCATTCCACGCCCAAACAGATCAGTTGCGACCATTATCCTCTTCTGGAAGCTCTTGAACGCCTGGTACTTGGCCAACCTGGGAAACAGAGAGAGAAGGAAAGAGAAGAGTCATGGTATACGCAGACTCATGAATATTGCTGTGTATGCAGCCAAACACAACACTCCAAATAAGGCACACCTTTCTGCAAAAGACACTGGTTCTACACCATACTAATGTACCTCTGAGGCAATGGCAATGTTCCCAGGGAGTATCTTATTAAGAGGTTACCTCTCCTCCTGGGGCATTCCACGGTGGATGCAGATGGCTGGGAAGTTCTGCTCCACCAGCAGCTGAGACAGAGCAATACACCTCTGCACTGACTTGACAAAGATGATCACCTGGAGCCACACGCACGCAGAGACAAATTGGAGGAATTGTACAGTAATGAAGGGGCCACGTCTCGAAGTAAGGGTAACAGGATTCACCTGGTTGAATTCTAGAGCATCCATGAGGTCGAAGAGTTTCCTATTCTTCTCCTTGTCCTGCAGCTTGACGTAGTGCTGCTGGAGTCCGTGGAGAGTGAGTTTCGTCTCGTCGTCGACGTAGACCTCCATTGGCTGAGGAAGGAGGGCTTGCTGGTGAGTTGGAGATACTTACACAGAAAAAGAGAGGGAGAGTGAGGGAGGGGCTGGCTAGTGGTGTACGTCGGTCCATGCAGTGGCAGGGAGAGAGAGCAGCAGACACCATCCCAGCTTGTGCGGCTGGCACCTCCGCTGAACCTCAGCTCACCACACAACACGACACAACACACAGAGAGGGCGGTAACTACACACAGACAGACTCCAACCAAACACACAAACAAGCGCACTGCCACCAAACCCAGACTCGTAGCTTCTTCGAGACCAAGATACACCCGCGACTGCCTCTACTGAACCGATATACACACACAGCACCAGGCGGCCAACTCAGACACACACAGAGAGAGAGACATAACCACAACTTTCTCATCGGCAAACAACTCCCAGCCAGCAACCAACAAACTCATCTGCAGCTCATACATTATTCATGAACTTCTTGGCAACGGGTCGGATCTCCTTGGGCAGAGTGGCAGAAAACATCATGACTTGCTTCTCGTGGGGTGTCATCTTGAACACCTCCTGGACATCTCGACGCATGTCTGCAGGGGGAGGGGGGAAGTCACCAAGGGTTCACTATTCAGGGGTGGAGCGAGTTTAAAGACACAGGGTTCTGCCCCCTTCGTTTCAAAAACGCTCATTTCTGGTCAAAATGAAGCTAACAAAAAGGGTAAGGAGGTAGAAAAGGGGTTGGGTTAATAACAAGAGAGCTTGGCGAGGAAGAAAAAGGTTGGGAAGGGGGATCGAGGTGACTTACCGAGCTGTTCCAGCATCTTGTCACACTCATCGAGGATGAAGTGCTTAATGTGCTTGAGATTGAGGGTCTTGTCGCGGACCAGGGCCAGGATCCTCCCCGGAGTCCCCACCACGATGTGGGGGCAGTTGGTCTTCATCACCTCCTCGTCCTTCTTGATGCTGATCCCTCCAAAGAAGACCGACGTCTTGATGTTGTCAAAGTATTTGCTGAATCTCTCGTACTCTTTGTAGATCTGGAACGCCAGCTCCCTGTGATGGTGTGTGAGTGTGGGTGTGGCAAGGGGTAAAATTAGCAAGAAAGAGCGAAAATTAACAAAGAAAGGCTGTGGTTTGTTACAATCCTTTCTCCATCACTTCCCTGTTTCTCTTTCCTCTTCTCACCTGGTGTGGCACATGACGATGACGCTGACTTGTCCATCAGTAGGCTCCAGCTGCTGGAGAGTGGCAATGACGAACACGGCCGTCTTCCCCATGCCGCTCTTGGCCTGGCACACCACGTCCATCCCAAGGATCGCCTGCGGTATGCACTCGTCTGTACTGTGAGGGAGAGAGAAATGGCTGAACGCCGTCTCTGACGAACGGGGTGGTGGGGCGGCAGACCTCGCTAGGATGCTCGAAGCCACAATCCACGATGGCCCTCAGTAGCTCCGGCTTGAGGAGGAAGTCGCGAAAGCCGGACGAGTGGATGGAAACGTAGCTCCCTTTCACTTGCTTTTTAGTGGCGTTCTCTGCCCCGCCCGCGTCGTTCTGAGCCGCCGCTTCAGTGGTATTCTCCTCCTCGTCATAGTCCAGCAGATCCGCCGCGTTATCAATGTCGTTGTCTGCCATCTCTTTCTCTTGCTCGACCGCCAAACACACACAGAGGGGCAACAACGCGAAGGCGAGAGAAAAATTACGGATCATGTAACACGCATGCGCAAAATGTCACGTGTTGTAAACAATATTGAACTGTGTTTCGCACAAATAGGAAATAATTATGACTTATGTTCCAGGAGTTCCTCGACCCTAACTAGCACACACTCCAGCATGTCCAGTTGGTGCTCTGCAAGCTGCAAAATCTACCAGAGAGGGATAGAGGAGGCGTGTCAGTCATACACAAGCTGGCACATACCCTGGCCTGCTCCTCGGGGTTAATTTCAGGGACCTCCTCTCCCGCTACCTCCACAGTCACTTCAGGCCCTTCTCCTCCTTTTCCACCACCACCTGCTTAGAGACAGAGTGAAGACAGTAGCAACAAAATAACAGTTGAATTCATAAACAAAAGGCAATTTAGCTGTCAGTGACAAAGTTTGTCCATGTTTTTGCTTTCACACCCGACCAGTGTTTCACATGCAGATAATTAAAAAGGAAGGTGTTTCTACTTCAATACATTTGCACATGAGATTGTGGGCCAGAGTTCAGAATAGGGTCTTGCCTTGTCTCAGGGTCTTCCTCTCTCCTCTGATGTGGACTTTATTCCTCTCCAGAGACAGACGCACCGGGCTGGTGAACTTTGACCTCACCTCATCGACCAGACTCCAGACTCCAGTCTACTGAGCATGCTCAGTAGGAACACTAGAGTCAGCAGGAGTGTGCCCACCATGTTGGAGTCAGGCTTGTCTCTAATGAGCAGGTATCTCAGGAAGTTCAGTCCTCCCATCACTCTGTACAGACGTGGAACACAAAGATGGTTAAGACCGCAACATTCACAGCAACTATGGAAGTGCATAGAAACAACTTTAATTTCTGGTGTTTGGTATAATTATGTTCTTTCGCAAAACCACTGAAACAGAACTTTGGCAAGATTAAGATATATAGGGCCAGCAAAATAAGACGAGATTACATTTACGATTACCTAACTCCATATGTACGTCTTATTAAAATAATATCGTGCCTTGCAAATGTGTAGTTGTTTTCCTCTTATGTACATACCTGTCAGTCTGTCTGAGTAGCTCCGAGTCTGAGGGGAATGACATAACCTCTTGTAACAGTGGAATGAACTCTGGACCGAGGAATGGACTGGAGACCTCTCCCTGTACAGCAGTAACACAATGGGAGAAAAGAGGGAGGGGCCTACGGAGAGCAAGGCATGGTCCACTTCATTCTTGAGACAGTGAATGAGCATTCCTTGTACTCCAGCATGTCCACATTCTCTCAACAAACACCTGATCATCCACAGACAGAGAGAGAGAGAGAGAGAGAGCGAGAGACAACTCGGACAGAATCACATCATAAAAATTAATTTACACAGCGTGTTAAAACTTAATGCAATGGGCTGAGCAGTTACTTGCATAACCTTATACGGTGTTCACCTCATACCTCCCATTTTGTTGCATGTGAACTAGGAGCTGGCTGATTGTATACCTGTACACAGTATGTCTGCCAGGTGAGGCAAACCTCTGGACCAGACTGGGCAATAGAGACAGGCTCCTCTGTCTCTGGAGATAAACATTACATCATTGACAATTACATCATAGACACCGGGACACCAATTACCAGGGTCTTGTGAGGACAAGTGACCATTATATCTACCAGACTCTGTCGTAGGGACCAGAGAGTGAGGCATTAGGAGAGGAGGAGGAGGAGGGAGGGAGGGCTGACTTTGGCAGTGTCAAGGTAGCGACTGTGGCTGAGGAGGTGTCGTGGGAGAGAGTCAGTCTCCACGCGTTTTACCACAGTCTCCAGCAGACTCTGCAGAAATACACCAACAATTCTGGAAATCTTAGAGCTGATAAAACACAAACTCACCAGTCCTTTTAGAACAGAGTGTCTCTCTTGTCTGAGGGAAAATGAGTGTACAGTGAATATTCTGGACACCTCTCTATAGAGGACACTTGTTTCTTCAACACTTGTTTCTTCAACACATGTACTAATACATTAGTACCTCCGAACACAGCGGATGGATACTTCACTTTTGATGTAACCAGTTTCAATTCTATACTTGGTGTGTGTGTTTAAGACAAACCTGTGCAGGAGTGTGAGGGTGTGAGTGAGAGAAGTGTGGAGGAGATGGTGAGGATGGAGAGGGGAGGGGAGATAACTTGACTCCACCCCCTCCACAAGCACCAGGTACACAAAACAGGCCACGCCCACCAGGGGAATGTCAACTGGAGGAGATAAACGACGGACTGAAGCACCAGTTGCCACGATGCTCTCTCACTGACAGGGAGATGAGCTGTCATAATCATCATCATCATCATCTGGACGGTGGTGAGCTGGTATCAGGTCACTCTGCTCTCCAGTCTCCAGTAGTTGGAGACATCCACAGTGGCACCGAACAACCCCTCTCTGTAGCAACATACAGTGTTGGTTGGCCAAAGAGCTCCATGTCATAGAGACAAACTAATAGACAAATGTCGGCCAGTAATAGCTACAGCTATTAAGCGATAGATGCTACTCTTGGCACAAAAACTTATTGAGCCAAAAAGAGCCCAGATTTAAGAAAATGTGTTTCTTTGCTGAAAGCATATATATATAGAGAGAGAGTTCTCATACATAAACTGCAATGTTACTGTGTGTACCATGATGGTTTCTGCAGTTGTCCTTCCCTCAGAGCCGTGTCTGGAGAGGTTACGAGAGACGAGAGGCTGAGCCAAGAGAACCAGGAGCCTGGGAGGAGAGACTGAAGAACAGTGTGGAGTGGTCGCGAGGCAAACACTCACAGACATGCAGTCTCTCTCTGCAGTGGGGACCAGTAGGTCTGCAGAGGAGCCTGCAACCAACACAATTAACAGACACTCTCATTAAACTCTGGTAGACAAGGTTTTGTAATTGTATAAAGCTGATTTCCATTGATAGCTCAGACTGAATATCATGAAGATTCTATATAAATTATACACATGATTTTTAAAGAGATTACAACTGTGCAAGTGTCCAGATTTGAGTGTGGCTAACCATTTGACTGGTAAACTGATGATGAATGTGAGCTGTGAATGGCCCAACCAGAGACACTACTAGTCTAGCTGCAGTCAGTGGAGAGAATCCCTCCTCCTCCTCCTCCTCCTCCAGACTGGGGTAGACTCTGGCAGTCAGTGACCTCACAGACCTCAGAGTAGAGAGGTGTCTCCTCCCATCTCCCACCCCCAGTCTCACCAGAACTGCAGACACACAACCCCCTCCTCCCCTCTCCCCAGTCTCACAGGTCTCACCAGTCAGGAGAGGGGTGAGGAGGTGGAAGAAGAGAGGAGGTGAGGGAGAGACAGCCTCCAGCTGCTCCAGGAAAGCCAGACACATCTCTTTAGCTGAACAAGTCTGGACGCAATGAGTCATAGTTAGCTTATACACAACTCATTTTCTTCCTATAACAATAGTAGGCGATTTCTATATGTGAGGTGATGGTGTTTGTGAAGAGTATTGGATACCTCTGAGATGAGAGTGATAAGCTGCCAAATGGGGGAGGAAGGTGACGGTGGAAGATTGGGAGGTAGGTGAGGGGTGAGCAGTGAGAGCAGGTCCCATCCCAGAGCCTTCACCACGTCCTGTGGAGGTAATTAGATGAGGTAATGAGAGGGTCTTCCCCATTGCTCTACCCTATGCTGCAGAAACAGTGAAGAAACAGCTTGGGACTGGCCAGAGTCAATGCTCCTCGCCACGGCAACCAGCAGCAACTGAGAGTCTCCATTCTGTAGCTGTTGACAATGGTCTGAGGAGACGCAGAGTTTCACCAGCACTTACACGCTCTTCTACTGCAGCTTTCAGGTCTTCCATTCCTTCTGAGCATGCGCAGTTTGTAAATCACACACCGCGCCGGCCGGCCACGTGCGATTTAATCTCTAAAAGACGCCCACCCCGTGCCTCTTCTTTCGTCGTTTTTTCTGGCAAGATTCGCTCAGAGGTTCGTTGGCGGAGTCTGCTCTGATCTATAGGATGACGACTCACTCACCGGATCTCCAGTGGTTGCTGATCAAGAACACGTCCAGTTTCCTGGTCCGCCGCAAGTACGCCAAGGCCAACACCTTCACAACTGTACGTCTCCTCCTCCCTCCTCTCTCTCATCGCATTACTTTGCTTCCTTCCCACCAGGAGCCCAACAACCTCACCGGCATAAACGCGTGGAAGTACAATGGGCTAGTGAATAAAAAGGTCAGATTTACACCATAATTTTGCCTAGTTTTTATGTTGTGTTTCTGCTTTCCAGCAGGCTGTGTGGTTATCACTGCTGGTCCGGATAACAAGGGTATAGTTCTGAGGACGAGGAGGAGCGTGGAGGGACCCGGCGACTGCCAAGATGTTCTCGAGGGGGGAGGTAGGGGAGGGAAAAGGAGAACGAAAAGGTCCCCATTTTTCACTGTTCCTATTGGCTACGTTTGTCCCTTGGGGCGTTCCCCTAGTTCCCCACCTTCTCTTCTTCTATTTTACTTCCCTCCTCTCTCTTTTTCCTTCCGGGCCCATCAGGAGAACATGGGATGGGGAACTGATACCGTCGAGATCTCTGGTCGAGGTCAGGTGACTCTGTGTGTATGAGGCTCGATGATGAAAACTCTTGACTGAGCTGGTGTTTTGGAGCTCCGCGGTAGGACCACACCTCTTCTCTCTTTCTGTGCGTTCTTAGTCCTTTTTCTGCTCATTCCTTTCTCACTCTCTCTGCTTTGGTCTCTTCCTCGAGCTCTGCAATGATGGCAATAGATTATGAGAGCTGAGAGCCTGGTTCATGTTTTATTGTGTGTGTCTCTGTGAGGGTTGTTTGTAGCTCTGTGTGCTTCTTCTTCCCAGGTTGCTGTCATGAGGCCAGTGCTATTCTTGCCAGCCAGCGACCGCGAAATTGGCCCAGAAACACAAATGAGGACAAAACTTGTTTTAGTGGCCACTTTAAACCATGTGTATATAATATGACGCCGTACAAGTTTGGTTCTGCGCATGCGCTGGCTGTAACTGCGGTGTGCAAAGAAATATGCTGCTGATGCTGAAGAAGTATTTTCCTCGTACCTCGACGGACACAATGGCCTGACGTTCACTGTGGTGATGGTGCCGCTGGCCTACGTCCACGGTGTAGTCAACATCGCCCCATCGTCTTTCCCACAGACCCCGCCTACACTCTGTCGGTGGGGGCTCATGACTTTCCTGCTCTTCAACACGGTGTCCAGCTACTGCTCCTCCTGACCACGGACACCTCCTGCGGCCGCGTGGCTCTCCCGGTCATAAATCAGCCGGGCTACTCCACTGTTCCCTACTGCCATGCACTAGGCTAGCTCGCTCCATCACGGCTCATCTGTGCAGCGGCGTTCTGTCGAAGTAGCTCACACTGTTTCTTCACGGGAGGTGTGTGTCTTGTGTCGGGCTTCTACACCACCGCTACTACTTCTTCCGTTCTCTTATCCGTCACTTCCGCCGCTTTCATGGCGCCATTATGAGTTTCGTGGCAGTATTCACACTGATTGGAGGGTTTTCCCTCACCGTAATCCCTGGACTGGTGTTCCCCAATGTGGCCTGGCTCCTGGACATCATGCCAGTCAGTCCCTCACCATATAGAGACCTCGGTGGCTCTGTTTGCCACCCTGGGGCTGGGGGGCTGCTGTGTCTCCTCCAGCTTTACCAGGCGGCTCATGGAGGAGACCTCTGGGAGTTCCAGAGAGGAGTCACTGCGTACAGACGCAGTTTCCCGGAGACAATGAAGGAGCTGATGGGAGAGCACTGGTGAGCTGCTGGCTGTGTCCTCTCATACCGTCCGAGTCATCGGGACCGGTGCAGACTACAAGCTAGAGAGGAGGCCACACCCATCGCAATGCTACCAACAGCAACCGCAACACAGGAGGTGCATCGGATTGGTGGAGAATCCGCAGACGATGGAGTCTGTAGGGGTATATGCACAGCGTGCAACTTAACAGGATAAACACAGATATTATAGGTTCATTTACTACATTTGTCTACCCCATAAACTTTATCGCTGCACCTTTTGGAAATGTGAAAAAGTGGTAACTCCAAAATGAGACACATGCACTGAGTATAAATTCAGATGCAGCAAAGAGAGAATGAAAATGTGAGTGTCAGTGTTTATGTCTGGTCTCTGGAGTGCGGTCTCTAAAAGATCCTCTCTGCTGAGTAGTAGTGAAGCTCCCGCTCTCCTTCACGTGGCCCTCTGGAGCAGTCTATACATCCTCCCAGCTCCTGGACGCGGCCTTGAACCCTGCACAGGGAACTGCAGATCTCTCTCTCCCATTGACTGGGAACTTAGGAGGGCCTTCCAACTGCTCCCATACTGCCTAAGCCAGCTCAGTCTATTGCAGGAAGTATGAGTAGTTGCCGCATCTCCACCACAGAGCTGCACGGAACTCCGTCCACCAGCAGATCTTGACATGTCTTTATGTGCAGGTCTTGTCTGTAGCCCAGAGCTCGGTGATCCACGACAAACACTCCCAGCTTCCTCTCACTGTTGGAGAGTTTCCACCTGTGCGCAAGAAGATGGGCCTCTTCAGAGGACGACACCAGGGTCATCAGCAGAGACACTGGCTGCAGTGTTCCTCCATCTATCCTCTTCATCACCGACCACACGTTCTCAAACTCTGTCAGATCACCGCACTCTGGAAGACCTGGAGACAGAGGAGTCAATTTTAGCATCAAAACAATTCTCATTGCCAGTCCTTTGCTCACCAATGTGTCTGGCCACCTGGAGATCGTACATGGTGCGGAGAAGATGAGGGCGTGGCTTCCCTGCAGAATCTTTGCCATCTCCATCCAGATTCTCTCTGCAGAGATGGCCGTCAGCCCCTCAGCCGTCTCTCTGATTGCCTCCAGTGTGGCGGGGTCGTGGCGGTCAGGTGAGGGGGAAATACGACCGTAGAACCTGAAATATCGCAGAATCCGGAGAAAGTCTTCGCATATTCTCTTGCGAGCATCTCCAACAAACACCACTTTCTTCTCAGCGAGGTGTTGCTCTCCGCTAAAATAGTCGTAGAGGTTCCCCTGGAGATCCAGACTCATGGCATTGATGGTGAGATCTCTCCTCTCTGCATCTTCTCTCCAGTCCTTCGTGAACTCCACCACCGCGTGTCTGCCGTCAGTCACCCGGTCTAGCCGCAGCGTCGTGATCTCGTAGTTTCGATGGTCGATGTGAGCCGTCACCGTGCCGTGCTGGAGCCCCGTCGGGATGTATCTGATGCCGTTTGCCTCGAATAGTCTCATCATGACGTCGGGTCTGCACTCCGTCGCTATGTCTATATCTTTGGGTCTCTTGTCCAGCAGTAGGTCTCTCACCACTCCACCCACGAGACGAAAACCGTAGCCACTTTTCCGGAATATGGACTCAAGTAGCAGGAGATCGGGCGTCAGTAGAGCCTTGAACGTCTGAGTGTCCAGTTTCCCGGTCGCCATAGACGCCATGAGGTGTTTTAGTCTCGTGTGTCCTACCAGTAGAGCCACAGGTCCTCGTTGTAGTCGCGAGAGAAAACGACAAGCTGAAGCTGCAGCGAAATGCATTTCACTGTTTCAAAAATTTCATCTCTGCACAGCGTGCACGAGTAATTAGGATCAAAACTCATGTATACGGTTTATCCCCAGCCTGGCAACGTTTCGGTTTATTAGAGAGAAATTTGACATTTTCTAGGACGAGCGATGTCGACAAGGGACAAAGACAGAAGTGGGAAGCTAGCTGCAGGTAGAAAGAAGGTTAGCGACTGCCAGTGAGACCTCCAAACGGCTCCAGCCTCTCTGTTTCTTTAGCTGGAGAAGTTCCAGGCTCGACAGCAGAGCGGCAAGAAGAAACAAGGCTCTGTGCCTCTCCTTCTCTCCCTCCCTGTGAGCCGACCCGCTGCTCTGGCGGTGTGTGCTAAAGCCTTCTCTCTTCCCTCAGGCTCTCGAGACCAATGCCTTACTCCAGGGAGCCGGTGGGGCTCCAGAACTAACTGCTCCTCTCCCCTCACTCACTGTAAGTTGTGTGTGTATCATGTGTTTTGGTCATGATATGTTCCTGCATCAGCTCAGCAATTCTCTCTCATTGACCACACCTACTGACCTACCTGCTCCCGTTGCCAACGGATACAGCAACAGTGATAGGTGGAGCCTGAAGGCACGAACTTTGACCCCACCAAGGGACCGTATCTCCCAGGACAGTGAATCAGAAGACAGTTATCTCCAGGTCAGCTCTCTACACTACCAGCCTTTCTCCCTGTCTCGCCTCACGGGGTTACTTTCAGTGGGTGTGCCCACTTTAGTTTCACCATCTTGGAATATCCCATACCCCTATAATAAGGAGATGTTCATAGGCCACTTACGGAAGTTCTTTTGTCTCCGTGATATCACTACCTTTAGTGAAAGATACAAGGAGGAGTTTCTATCTCCCATTCCTTGTCTCATTCTTATAATAATGCCTCTGCACAGGCTCAGACCATTGATATTCTGGTGGCAGAGAAGTCGTCACTGGAGTCAAAGATTCACCCCCTCCAGACTGACCTCAGACACAAGACGAGTTAGCCGCGCCAAGCCGTGTCAGATTGTGTTAGTCAGGATCACGTGGTGTCACTGCAGGGGAAGTGCAGGACCTGAGGAGTCGTCTACAGTCAACCAGACTGCAGCTGGAAGAGAATGAGAGATTGAAACTCTCCCTCATCGAGGACAGAACAAAGCTGACAGAGTGAGTCCACAGGTTCAGTGAACATAATACGCTACTGTCTTGTGTACAGAGCCTGTTGGAGGAGAGGAGGGGCAGGGAGGAGGCTGAGGGTGCCTTGCAGAAGATGAAGACAGCTCGCGAGGACACCAGACAGGAGAACACTGAGCTAGTCAGCAAGGTGAGACCACAGCTGGTCTGAGACTAAAACTGGGTCCACTAGCACGAGGCCAAAACAGTGTGTCATAATTTATCTTTGTTTATGGTGGGTTGGGGCGTAAAAAAATAAAGAATTCTTTTTTTTCTCCGTTTCTTCCATATCAGGTGACCGGCCAGGCAGCTGATCTTCACTCCCTCCAACAGACGACCTCTGACCTCCGCAGTCGACTGACGATGGCGGAGCTCCTCAACCAGCAGCTGTCGGCAGTCCGTCTTCTCCCAGTGGGTCGGGGGAGGGGCTGGCTGCCGGGGAGCTGGAGGAGCTGCAAGGGGAGGTGGGGAGACTGGAGGGAGTGGTGAGGAGTGTGAGTGGGGAGAGGGACCAGGCTCTCGGGGATCTCGACGCTCTCCGAGAGGCAATGATACAACAGAGACAAGACTCCGCCCAGAGAGTGAGCCTTCGACATAAATAATGTCGTATATAGCGAGTTTCTGTTGTGTTGTGTCAGTTGTCAGAGCTGCATTCGAGGCTGGCACAGAGGAGGCGGAGAGACTGAATCTGTCTGAGCAACTGTCGGACGTCTCCCAGAGACAATGTGAGATGATCCCTGTGTCACGTGTGTCATCCCGTGTAACACCATCTGATTCTGTAAAATGGCATCCGATTCATTTGTGATCTTGTGTAACACCATCTGATTCATGTCTGATCTGGCCTGATTTCTGTGCAGATGAACTTGCTCAACACGCATCTTCTGAGACATGCCCAGTACCAAGAATCAACCCTGGTTGCCATGGAGACACTACAGCAAGAAAAACAAGAGCTCCAGACTCAGCTTCAGTCACAGGTGAGAGACCACGCCTCCAGCCACGCCCCCTGACCCCTCCCCTCAGTTGGCAGAGTGTGATAAGCTACGGAGTGACTGGAGAGTTGCAAAGGAAGGTGGAGGAGGAGAGAGAGAGGGTGAGAGGCTCAGGGAGAGTGCTATAGACTCAGGAGCTCTACTGGAGACAATGTCGCGAGACAAGGAGGCCCTGAGCAGGCGGTGGCCCAAAATAGAGAGCTGAAGACTCAACTTGTGGAGTTGCAGGATGGCTTCGTGAGATTGAGTCAGCAGAACATGGAGCTGGCGTTGGACGCTTGAGACTGAGAGGTTCCACGTGTCTCAGCTGACGAGGCAGCTGGAGGCAGCGTCACAGTCGCAGGAGGAGGAGGAGGGCTGGGAGAGGACAAGAGAGCAGAGATAGGGATACGGACGAGGTGGGAAGAGAGGGGAGGAGGAGGAGGAGAGTCGAGTGGACACACAGACCACAGCAGGAGAGAGGAAGACACTGAGACGACTAACCACCTCTTACACCAAATTCAGGTACAGTCTGGAAATGAGGGAACACTGTTAAAGTTGGTCAGGGTCCAGAGTTCAATGTAAACATCCGCAGAGGCGGAAACGTTGTAGTTTTATAGATGCTGCTCTCTAATGGTTTTGGGAAGCATCGGAGTTTTCTCGCGAATTTGAAATGAAAAGTTTTCAAATCCACGTCATTATTACAGTACCCCCTCCCCCACATCCCAGGAGGTGGAGGAAGAGAGGGAGAGTCTGAGGCTACAGTTGGAGGTAAGACACACCCCCACTACCTCCTCATCAGACTGTGTGAGGACTACTGACTGACCTCTCACAGGAACTGGTGATAGAGAGAGACAGTCTACATGAGGAAATATCACGGCTTCACTCGCAACTGACTGGGCCCACTCTGCAGCCAATTATCAGTCCTAATGACAGGGGCTCCCCGCAGACACCGAAGCTGCTAATGACAGGGGCTCCCCTGCAGATGCTGAGGCTGCCAATCAGACACTAGACATACTCACTGCACTCCAGGTCAACTTTAATGCTCTTCAGGTATGTCTGGGGATTCAGTGGGTGTGGTTTGAGAGTGGGTGTGGCCTGTCCAAAGGAGCGTATGTGGCGGTGATGTGGAGAAGGCGGAGCTTGTTGAGCAGGTGGAGCAACGAGAGGTTACCATTGGACAGCTCTCTGGAGAGACTGAGACCATTGGTCAGTCTATTCAACTCTCTATGATATCTGTTACAGTGGAAAAGACACCTTCCTTTATAAAGGACACTTGGTACTAATACCTCAGAGTGAGGGAGATACATATTGTGAGACACTTTTGAAGCCTTCAAGTGTGTCCGTAGTGCAGAGATCTCGTATTATACTGGTGCAAGTGGTGGTATCTGATATATTATATATACCATGCTGTACTGCAGGAGAGTACGTAATGCTGTACCAGGCCCAGAGAGAGGCTCTGAGGGCAAAGTTCAAAGAAAAAGACAATTTCATTCAGCAGCTTGTCTCAGAGAAGGAGGCAGTGCAGGTAGTGAGGGTGGCTCCTGTGTTTATTAGTCAATTATTGTGCCACTCATTTCTCTCCAGGCTCAGTTGTCAGAGGTACAGACACTCATGAAACAGCTGGTGACTGGCAGAACTCGTGAGAACAGACCAACCACCTCACATGAAGCTCCTTCTCCTCCACCCCCTCCCCCATCTCCCTCATCACTCCCCCTCCATCTCCGCCAATTCACACGTGCTCATCGCATCACACCCTCCCCTCCTCCTCCTCCCCTCACACCTCAACTGAGACAGTGGACCGTATATTCCAGCTTCTGTCAGTGATTGGTGAGGGTGTGGAGAGGGGGAAGAGTGAGGTGGTGCCTTGTGCCTGCTGTACCGGTGATGTCATCTCTGTATAAACCTTCATTAATGAAAACTGTCACATGTTCTCCATCATTAATAAACCTTCATCTTCAATTTGTAAAGAATGACTTTAACAAGTGAAGCAAACGTCGAACTTTTTTGTTCTTGCATGCATATTGTCGTGGCACAGAGTTGGTTGTTACGTAATAACTGCAATAATTATGCAAATAATATAATATACAATTATGATAAAAAACTAGCGTCAAGCAAGAGTATTAATACAATAATATATATATAACTGTTTTCTAAAAGTCTCCATAAAAGGAGGTGGGTGTGGTCTAGTGAGGTCTCTGTGGGACAGAGGGGCGTGGTGGGGGTGGGGCAGGGCGTGTCCCTCCAGGTCCTGGGTTTGCTGAAGGACGTCTGTAGTGACAGAGTAAAGAACACAATATAGCAATACTGTAGTGTATGTTGAATGTTATACCGTGGGACATGAGGCCTGTCGTTGTTAATAGCAGGAGGTACGGGAGATCGACCGGGAGTTGGGCGTGTCGGGCGGGAGGGGGCGGGGGGATTGGGGCGACTCCTGGGTGGCGGTGGGTGGCTGTCTGACTGGTCGTCATACTGCACAGGAGGTGGCAGGGGCGTGTGCACTGCAAGTGGGGGGATAAATGAAACGGAAATGGACATCAAAATAAGAGTTGGCTAAGTTCAGGTGAAGTGTGGAGACAGAGAGGAGGAAAGAGGGAAGAATTATGCACATTTCTTATGCCAGAATTCTACCAAAAGTAGAGTTGGCTACGTTCAAGTGAAGTAAGATGTTTTCAGGGCTAAAGGTTGTATTCTTGGCAAAAGTGCACTAAAGTGAAAGTGAGGTCTGTTTGTCAGTCATGTGCGTTTTGTCTGCAAGGCTGTAAGATGGAGCCATACAAGTCTTTGAGGTGACATCTCGTATGAGAGATAGGGCCTCATTGCAGGTGTGGTACATATGGATCATGTCCTCTCTCCTGAGAGTGGCCTCCTGACTCTCCTCCATCATCTCTGACTGGTCCCCCGCTGCGTAGATCATGGCCAGCAGGTCCTTTGAGATGTACTCCTTCAACTGGGGCAGAGAGACGTGGTGCATGTTAATCATGCAGTCTGCAATATGCAAATACAAGGGGATATTGCCCAATAGAGTTGTGCCTATGAATAAATCTGATCTGCGAAATTATTCACCAAAGAATTGTAGGAATGCAATCATGTACATCGACACATATTAGTGGGTGTGGTCAGTGGGTGTGGTTTTTCAGCTGACCTTGTTGACCATCATGAACATGATGCTCTTGGGACGGAGTCCCTGATGTTCTTGCTGACGATGGAGAAGTAGGAGTCCACCAGGTTTCTGATGGTCTCAACCTGCCTCTCTAATTGGGGATCAATGGAATCCTGTTCTCCACTCTGAGAGGGAGGGAGAAGTATGTGTGGCATTAATTGCTTCATGAAATTCCCAAACAGGAGACTTTTGGACACCAACATGCCACTTTGACAGTATTTCATTTGTTTAAGTGCTGAGATATTTTTTCTCACTGCACGAAAAAGACTTTCTCTTTATTTACGCTCTGTCACAAGATGAACTAGTGCTCAGGAGTGACAGTGAAAGTGAGCTAACATGGAATGCATAACCATCAGTTAGTTTTAGTTAGAAAATGTGTGCAATGAGAAATTGAGTGGAAAAGGAGTGAGGTGAAGGAGGGAGGTGAAGGAGATCTTACGTCAATTCTGGAGCTGCTGTCTGATTGAGGATAGACACCAGCTCTGAGGAGAGAGGCCTTCCAGTTCTCCACCTCCTCCTCACTCTGAGCTACCATCTCCAGCTGGTCCTTGTCCTTGTACACGTTCCTGCAGGTCACATGACAGTCATATGATGTAGTTAACTTGGTCACATGACAGTCATGTGACTCAGCTGGTTGTTCACTCACTTGCCAGTGGTATAGAAGAGAGCAAACACATGTTTCTTGCCGATAGAGAAGCGGCCGGCCTCGATATCCCTCACCCTCATGTCCTCCAGTCTCAGACTGTACTTTTGCTCCTTCTCCTGAGGGTTCAGGTATGGACACATGAGGAATGGAGGAATGCAAACACGAGGAAATGGGAATGGAAACGTAAGGTATTGGCGAATGGTAGAGAATGAGGTATTGGGAAATAAAATGGAGTATGGGGAATGGAAAACTGGGGTATGGAGTAAGGGGCACGGACACATGGGAATGAGACCCACCTCATTGTCCTTGTACCAGGTGAGGCTGTCAGAGCTGAGGACAAACCAGTATTCTCTGGTGGAGCCCTTGATGAGGGAGACGGGGATGCTGAGCCAGCCCTTGCGGATGAGCTGGTGGCTGGCAGTCCGGGTGCCTCCTTGTTTGGTCTTGGAGGCTCTGTCGAAGCCAATGAAGTCAGGGTGGTTGGTGTTCATGTAGGAGAGCTCTATCTCCACCATCAGCTTCAGCTGTGGACCACAGCACATACAGACAGAGAGGTAAGGTGGAATACAGACAGCCAGAGAGGTAAGGTGGAATACAGAGAGAGAGAGAGAGAGAGAGAGAGAGTGATGGAGGAGGCATGGACTCACATGTTGCTTGCAAGCCTGTTCTTGTTCCCGGAGCTGCGTGGACAGGACTCTCTCAGTCTCATCTCTCAGCCGTGGGTACTTGGCCATCTACAGACAGACAGAGAGACACTAATACAGAGGTGATACATGGAGTGGGTATGTTGCATTATCCCCATTATTAACATTGTAGACTGATCCTCATTCAATGCCTAGAAATTAAAAAGGGCAAAGTTGACCCTGACAACACTCTTTTCGTTGACAGGTGGGATCTTATGTACATTCTGCCGTGGTGGAGCGAGACACATTGAGCTACTTACCCCCTCTGAACATGTCTGTACGACGGCTCCCAGCTCCGTGGACACCATGTCGACACACTTGAGGGACGGCTGCAGAAGCTTCTTGATCTGTCGCTTCACTATCTCCTCAAACGCCAGGTCAGGAGTGAACAGACCAACTCTGCCAGCGGGAGAGGGAGAGAGGTGTACGTGTATTAGCAGCTCTTTAGTGACAAGTATTATACTCTAGTCTAATATTGGACAAAGGCGCAGCTTTACTTTAGACACTTTGACTAAAATGTTTGCTGAATGTATGAATGACAATAGACTCCAGTACTGGTATCAACATGAGGGAGGTGTGGTGAGCGTTGTACCTGACTCCCAGCTGGTTCTTTATCTCGTAGCTAATCTCCCGCCTCATCTGCTTCTCATCCGTCTCCAACTGCCAACATAGAAAAAAAACCCACTCAATCAATACACTGTCCAATGTACAGTGTACATTCAGTGGATATCAACATCACAGCAGTTTGCTAGTCACCATTCCCACACCTGATGCGGTGAACAACCATGGCACCAACAGTTACTAGCCTGTCTGTGAACCTCTAAGGTCAACCATTGTTCCTGGTGTGTCTCTTCAACCATCCACTCACCACGACACACAACATGTACCGTACGACACTCTAATTGAAGCCCACCCACCTTGACCAGCTCAAAAGGGAACCTCTCGTGGAATATTCTGCTGATCTTGGCTCCTCCGCTGAGCTCCTGGGAGGCGGCTCCATCTGAAGTCCCTCCTCCCTCTATCCTCCGCTCAAACTCCAGACTGTACGTCTGGACCAACCTGTGGGTAACAATAATATAACAAGACAAGAAAGTGTTATTCTGTATTACATGTATTATGAACATTGAAAGCACAGTCAGTACGGAAGACAATGAATTACGTACTAAAAATACGTCGTACCAACCCTCAGTGCATGTGTATGTATATGTATAAAGGAAGAGAGAAGAGAGGGGGAAGACTGACGTGAGCATGGCCTTGGTCTTCATGGCGGGGTCTCCTGGTTTGAACTTCTTGTACTCCTCCACCTCCTTCTCCATGGACAGGACCTCCGCCTGCAGCTTGGTCCGCAGTGACGGCAGAGTGTCCCTGATGTGGTTGGTCAGCATCTGCACACCACCAGTGAAAGAGAGGGAGGGAGGGAGGGAGGGAGGGAGGGAAGGGACGGACTGAAAACTTATCAAAATAGGAAAATAACTGAATTATCCCCCAAAACCAATACTATCCTCCCAAAGAACTGTTTTACAAAAAGTCACATGAAAGAAACTATAGAGTGGGCACCAACACACACCAGTCCCTAGTAATAACAACAATCTTTGGAATTTCCTCTTTAACTCAAAACTTCAGTGTGGGGACTTTCTACAGCTACACAGTGGTAAGTCTTGCCAATCGCTTGCACGTTTGAGCTATCCATGAACTATCTTCACTAACAATGCAGATTGCTACGAACTAAACAGAATGTTTCTCCATCCTTAGTCTCCCTGCTATTATGCAGGTTTGCGAATTCAATGGTTGTGAGGCGTCCATTGCTCTGCGAATTGCTACCAATACATGAGCGTTTTCACACTAAATAGTTTTCAGCAATGTGTACAAACATACATTGTACCTGGTTGAGTGCCTTCTGGAGGTAAGGAGTGCCCAGTTTATCAGCCATGTGGCGGTAGGAAGAGTGAGAGAGAAAGAACTTCCTCTCGCCAGCCAGTGCGGCTCTGATGTCCTTCCTTCCGTCGATGTCCTTCCTGGCTCCGTTGACCACACCCACATACCCTGCGCAGCGGGAACACTTGTTTTCGAGAATGTCTCGTGCGTCTGTTCTCGTCCTCAGATCCAGTTTGTCAGGTACACCTATATGGTACGAACCTGCAGAAGAGAGAGGACTGAGAGGTGAGCAAGGAGAGCTCATAGAGCGGTGGAGAACCTTCTCAAGACACAAAAAACCCAGCTGAATGATCGAGGACACCAATAATTCTTCTTAGAGATGATAATTATACTTTATCTCCCATAGAACAGGTAATAACCACCTAGGCAAATTTAACAACCCTAAAAACACTAAAGACACAAAAAACCATTGCTAATAATAGGACAACCTCTTCTGTCTGCAACGTGGTGTCTGTCACTTAGAATGGTTCCAGGGTGATAAGTAATTATGCCACTAACGCGGTAGTGTCCACCTCTTTGGACCTAGTGTGAGAGCCTCAGAGTCGCGAGGTCAATGTTGGCGGGCGAGGTGACGGACCAGAACCAGGCAGCAGTAGTCATCATACACGCGTGATGATTGCATGAGCACATGTACTCTGATCTAGGGAAAACTACACACGATCGGGAGCGACAGATATGGTCACCAACACTGGGACCATCAATTGGTGAGAACCAGGGGCGAAGTCCACCACAAAGTACCAGATTCAGGGACATGCACACATCACCACAGCGGGAGGAAGACGAGGGAGAGAGAAGGCAGGGACACATGAGAAAAAAAGAGCAGAGAGAGAGAGTAGCTTGTGCTACGCAATATGGTCTAAGCAAACATTTCATAATAGCAGCAATGTGTATACAGTGCTTCCAGAAACCTCAGTGCACTACACAAACTGGTCATACCACTAGTCATATTATTGGCAAACACACCTCTC